GTAATACAAATAAAATTTGATGGATTGTTTGATTGAAATACTGTCTGTGGTTGCTCTTGAAGGAAAGTTTAATCTTTGCTTCATGAACAGCCCTCAAAATCAACCGTACTTATTGGCATAATGGGTTTTTTTCCCCCTTCATGTTACAATTTTTCTGTTATACTCCCCTGTCCTCTGCTTTTCTGTCATCACATTCTCAACTTCATAGCAAATCAGTACATTTTGAAGTTGGCGCTGCTTCGTTATGCAGCTCAGCTGAATTAGCACTATTAAGGTGAAACCTAAGGAACCGTTTAAGTGTTTGTATTTCAAAAGGAGCCACAGAAAGTGCACTTTGCATCTCAAACCGGACTCTTTTTAGCCTGTTTCTCTTTCCTGTCCTGGTATGACTGCACCATTGTTATTTCTATGGACCACTTGCATAGTACATCCGGAAATTTTGCGAATGTGCACAACGCTGGGAGGAAAAAAGACAATTCTTTTTCATGCCATCTCAAGCTGCAATGCTGTTGTAAAACAATTCAGTTAACTAAATCAAGTTAAGATATATACTTATGGAGATGTAATGAATTTAGTGCTATTCGAATAGTGAAAAATAATGCAGAAAAATGGTTGAAGAACAACTCAAAACCACTTGTTTCTTGTTCTCCGTGTCAACTGTGCTACACACAGACTCGTTGCCATAGCAACTGACAATCACAGAGAATGTGTGCGCATCTTGACTTGCAGCAAGGGCCAGTGTTGTGACAATCTGTGCTGCCTCATCAGATTTCCAACCATAGCACATCTAGATAGCTATGTCTATTGGTCGGTGCTACCCTTAGAAAATCGCTACTGTCATGTTTACATACAAAAGACCTTAGCAGTTAGTGTCAGTTTTAAATATAATAATCAAATTGTTCTTTAAGTGGTGTGTTTTAAGTGGCACTCAGCAGATATAAGTAGCATTTGAGAAAAATATGTGAATGACAAAAACTTTTCTAAAAGCACTTGAATCCCTGTTTAAAAATACCTGTTCATGTAAATGCACTAAAACCCTTCATGAGAATAGTGTGCCTAGTTTTAATATGTAAAGCTAGTACATTTAGATGCACTATAACCCCAATTACCCCCAAATGTGTATTTTAGAATTCCACCTTTATAAAATACACAATAGCATGTGTATTTTATGCACATGATGATACCAACATTCCATCAAAATATCCTACCTGGTAGGTGGGTAGCACATTTTGCTACACCAGATTCCTTCATTTGAATGTCGTTACAAAATATAGAGGTAGCACATGTTGATGCACTAAAACTCCTTCATCAGAACATCCTAGTACCAGGTATATCGGTAGAGGATCTTGATGCACCAAAGCCTTCATAAATATATTCTACCTGTTTCACATTAGTAGACAGCACATGTTTATCTACTAAATTCACTGATCAGAAAATCCTACCTCTATGTACATGGTGATGTGCTAAATTATTAAATCGGAATATCTTACCTGTTACCCATAACATTTTGTGTGGGTAGCGCATATTGGTGTATTAAGGCATAGCATCAGAATATCCTACCGTTTTAAAAATGTTTAAAATACAAAGGTAGCGCATAGTCATTACACTGTAATATATTTCTAACTGTAAGTGTTTGTAAGAATGAAACAAGTAAAAGAAAAAAAAGTATGTTACAGGAAAACTACTCTATGTACCTTTACCAAAAGGTTTCTCAAGTAAATGTAACCAGTACAACTCACTTTTGAACAAAGATATCAATACTAGTAACCTATTTTTGTTAACAAGCTTAATGTGATATATTGCCATTGGCTAAACATCATTTGTCTAAAATGTACTGCATTCAAAATCATTACTCAACTCACTCGGTTAGCTTGGGGGGAAAAACTGCACAGCAGCATCATGTCTCCACCAGCATGTATCCATTGCTGCCGCACAAATGTAAAACTGGCATCTTAGTGCTCATGTTGTTTTTAAACGCGGGTCGGAAAAACGCGTCTTGACATGTTGACAATTGAATTACCAGTTGTAAAAGCTGAAAAAAGTGTGGGAGGTAGAGGGCACGGATATGGGAAGTGCGGGAGCCCCTACTATATCAAATTGAGATAGTAATAATGGAAAATTGGCCACTCTGAGGTAAAAATGAAAAAAAAAAAAAAAGCTTCCAGTCCAGGGCGAGCATGACTGATTCTGTGGGCGGGCAAAGGCCCCTACCCATGCCACCTGGCCAGTCCAGTTATTTAAATGAGGTGTGGCAGCAAGGAGACACCCTAAACATGCAGGATGGAGGGAGGGGCTTGAGGACTAGGATTGGGGACCACTGGCCTAAAGTTTTGATCTGCATTTCTTTAGGATGCAGGTCAATGCTCTCAGAGCCTAGTTAAAGCTAAAATCTGTATCTTTAATTTTTCTGTTGATATGTAGGAACCATTTTTGCTTAAATTTCTGCTCTTTTTAGGAGATTTGAATGTTTTCAGTTATATTGGTAACATGACAGTGGAGGGATGTGAATATGTTTTAATGATGCTGCTGTAAGATCTGCCAGAAAATACCAGTGACTGTTCTTGAGAAGAGAGAAACTAGAGTTTGTTGTTTTGTTCAAATATCAATGTGTAAGTTTTTTCTTCTTTTATTAAAGAAGACACCCATGGTTTTTGTCTCATAAATTGGCATTAAATTCCTTTCCCCTATCTGTAAATAGGGCCCAGCAATCATGATGGCTTACCTGCTGATCTCAGGCCTGTTCCTGACCAGACTGAGGAGGCCCATAGGGAAGATGACAGTGACTGAGCAGCGCTATGAGGGAGAGTACCGCTATGTGAACTCACGCCTTATCACTAACAGGTGAGCACACCTACTGGAATCCGATCAACGTGTGAAAACTGCACAAGAAATGTATGGGTGAATTACACTTAATCTCCATTGATGTTTCCTATTTAGTGAGGAGATTGCCTTCTACAATGGAAACTTGAGGGAAAAGCAGACAATTCATTCAACATTCAAGAAACTTGTAAGTGATATCTTAACAATTCAGTTCAGTGTATTTATAGTTTCCATTCGCAACACCTCACCTCAAGGCAATTTACAAGACAAACAGATCCAATTTATGCTCTTGAGTAATAATCTGATCAATCCAAAAACAGATTCAGTTACATACATTATTATTTAATCTTAGTAATAATGACATGCATTCAAATTCTGTTTCAATACCCAAAAAGGGTTGGTCTTCTAATGATTAAAAACATTACAAGACCAAATCTTAGCATTGAGATAGGAACGACTTCTTTAGCATTTTAAAACTTTCAGCAGAGGCAGAACCCTGCTCAGTGTGAAGAGCCACCTGCCAGGACTGACTGGGCATTTGAGAAATTAGAACAGACACACAAAAAGCACAGCAGCACTGACCCTGGAGTATTTTCTATGTTAAAAGTTAATGGCAGTAGTATTTGCTTCATCTAGGAGAGAAAGACAGTTAAGCAGTTAAGATCTGAGCATATAGTAATATTATTTACATTCTGATCCCAGTAGCTGTACCTCATTATTATTCAGTCCATTGAAAATATTTGTATTAAAAGAAAAAAAAATGTAATGATCTAATGTAATAATTGAATAGTTATAACATTATATATAAGCTACAGTGGCATTGCAATATTCCTTTGTATACACAGCAGCTGTCTGTACATATATATGTTAGATAACAAGAAATGACAAAGTGGTATGTTTCAAATAATGTTTAATGTTGATGAAAACTAATGAAAACCCCAAGTTCAGTATCAGAAAATTAGAATATTACTTAAGACCAATACAAAAAAAGGATTTTTAGAAATGTTGGCCAGCTGAAAAGTATGAGCATGTACAGCACTCAGTACTTAGTTGGGGCTCCTTTTGCCCAGTATACTTCATTCTAAAACGCAATACCTATTCTACTTATATTAGATTTGTGTGTTTTACTTAAGTCTCACTAAACTGTTTATTCAACTCAAGTAATGTCAGTAATGTACATGTTTGGCCTGAGAAAGTTTCCAGACTAAGTTATTTTTAGTAAAATGGATTTGAATATTTTTGTTACTGGAGCAAATGCTTCAGCTCAGTAGTGTGCATGCTGAGTTGAAGGGAAGTGCGGGAAGCTTCTAGAACGTTTGTGGACTTAAACATTGGAAGAAGCAGATCTTCTCTAACGGTGAGTTATTTGTCTTCAGTATATTTTCATGTGTTATGTATGCCTTTACTACTCACATATATGGCTACAGGTTGATTTTTCTTATAAAAGATGATGCATCAAACTCTTTGCAGGCTAATATGCTAATGTTAGCATGGGCTCATGGGTCCAACATTAACTAAAACTGCCATGCCTTTTAGTTTTTAATGTTTTTGTCCATGATAAGAGATCTGACTAATAATTACCTGCCTTTCAACTGCATCCCTTCAGCATGTTTTTAAGTATAAACTCAGCCTGCTAATGTTCATTTAGAATTAATTTCCCTCAGCCATGTGGAGATGGAGGTCCGGAAGTGGATTTCTCTGGTTCAAAACAAAGCAAAATTGATCACAATTAGTACGCTAATGCCTTAAATAGGCCGAAACAGACAAGGCATCTCGAAAAAATACATGTATATTTAGGATATGATCGGTATTTATGATTTATGCTGGGTGAGTAGTGAGTTGTGCTACTTTCAGTAATTAATCTATTATAACGATGTTATCACTAACAAAATATTAACCCATGTTATTTCTACGAGCTTGGATCTCCTGGTAAATAACTTATTTAGCTTCTATAAACCCAAATTCATGCTGGAGTTGTTGTGGGACGCTGGTTTCAGGTCCAATGTAGATCAACCATTCACTCCGATCTACAGAAAGCCTGTGTTTGTGACTGGCCACAAATATAGTTCGTGGCCAGACACGAAGCATGTGGGGGAATAGTCACAGCTCACTGTGACTGCATGGCTGGGTAAATTATATTTAATTTATTTAGCTTTCTTCTTCTTCTTCTTCTTCTTCTATTTTTAGCATGAAAGTCCCACTGAATAAACATTATATTTTCTGTCTGTGACTCGGCACTGAGCTAACTGCTAACAACATTAACACTCTGGGGACTACCAAGTTAGGGCGTAAAAATAATATATCTTACCTTTAGGCCTGTCACGATAACAAATTTTGCTGGACGATTAATTGTCTAAAAAATTATTGTGATAAACGATAATATTGTTTGAAGACCTTTTGACACTGATTTAATGGAAATGACTAATAATTCATGCGATTTCCTGCCATAGATAGATGCACTTTATTTTCAAAAGAACACATAACACTGGAACTGATAAACTAATTAATTGATTTATCGTTTATTGCAACAGGCCTACTTACCTTACATATGAATGCTTGTCTTTCTAAATAACTGTCCAATAAAATATCTGAAAATACAATTAAAATGATGTGATCGTTACCTGTTAGAAAGTGGTCGCTGCAAACTCTGGCATTGTTAGGTGTTTTCACACCACCTATTTTTAGCTGTAGATTGTCGATCCACTTTCTTCCTCTTTTTTCAGTTAATTTTTTAAAATTAACTCCCTTGTGACCAAATACCTTCGAAACATGAAAATAAGGTTTATCTTTCTCTCTATTAGAACGGTTTGAACAACCGTAAATGACACAGATTTTAGGCATTTTGATGCTAGATCAACAAAAGAAATGGGCTGGATTTACTTCCTGCCCTCCATCTGCATTGGGTGACGTCGGTGCTACATCCTCTGAAACCCAGCAATATGTGCCCTCTGTCCACAGCACAACTGATTAATCATTACAATGGTTTAATCAGTTGCTAATGTATAGTAATGTGTTTTTCCGAGGCACCTTTAAATGCAACATTACTGTTAAGATGCTCGCACCAGCGGGTTTGCTACGGAGACATGTTGCTGTCCAGAGGTGGACACTTGTGTTAGAATCATGGCACATAATCATTAAAAGGCAAAAACCTTTACACAGTTTTTTTTCTAAACCGAGTAAGTAGAGTAATGCTGTAGGATGCAGACAATGTTAGTTACTTAATGACAACATGCCACGTTAAGCTAGTTAAGAATAGGCTACTAATTTGTGTTGATGGTATTTGGGTGACTAAACACAACTAAACACAGTTAGTTGTTGAAATAATGATTGAGCATCAGTCTATGACATTAATATAATAATCAGCTGATAGCAGGTTGGGAAATTGCCATTGTTCCTTAAACTATACAACCATCAAAATTATAATCAGTCGGTCAGACAACAAATAAAGTGTTACCTTATTTTATGCCACTTATTGTGACCAAATGTGATTCAGTTTCTTCAGAATAAGCTTGTGCTTACTTTTATTGTTCTCCCTACTTCTAGACCAATGATGTTGCCATGAGGACGGCTACACTGGGATGTCTTTGTTTCCCTCGAGGAAAGAGTTCTACAATGTATCTTGTATGCATTGCTATTCTGTTTGTCATGGGTTGTACACAAGAAAATCAAAACTTTCTCCGCATTCTGTTTTTTTTAATTTGTACTTTTCTTATTATCCACAGGCTTCAGATGCCATGGCAGACTTTATCCAGGTTCCTGTGGGGTTATTGACTGTTATGTTATGCTAAGTACATTATTTTGTTAAAATAAAACATTGAATCTTATGAACTTAAAATCTTTTTTGTGATTACTTAATTTATTTAAGGCAATCGG